ATCATAGCTACGGAAAATCGCAATTTTATGACTTAAAATAATTTTGTAGGCAAAAACCGACGACGGGCTTCGATTCGTTATGAAATTTCCTAACTAAATCCGTAGATTAAAAGCTTCTACGATTTTTTTTGTTCATTTGCCAGACGTGAAAAGACGAATTTTTCGATTTTTCAACAGAAAAAAATTCAAAAATCGCAATTTTTTCACTGAAATCGTTTTTATAGCCCAAAACTAATGATGGCATTCGATTCTACGGCAAAAAATACAAAAGAAAATGTATTCACAAAACCCATTATGGCTTTATAGAAAATCTGGCAAACTATCGAAGTGCCTCCTGTCGGCTGCGATTTTTTTACGTCAAAAAAAAAACTTCAAAAATCCATCGACACCATCTAAAATCATTTTTTTTAGCTCTACTTTACGGGAAAATTCATTTTAAACCTTAAACTTTCAGATTCCGTTGGATCCCCCAAGATTAAAAAAATTTTTGAAAAAGTGGACCACCCTAATGTGTACTCGAACGCGACGTAGCAAGATTCCACGTAATGCTGCTGCTGCTTTTATAAGCTCAAGAGTTCGATCCGTTCGATTATAATCACACTCGGCGACACAACTCGATTTTCCTGGTACTCTGACCGCGCGCGTCGCGCCGCGAGCCATTAGCATCGCACGCCATCCGCGGCGTGCGAATACGTAATTATGTAATGTCCACAAATGAATTACAGGGCAAAATTGAAAAGACGCGCTTATGTATTATGTACACGCGTGTCATACACGTGTTGTAGTTGTTGGTCGCCGCGGATGTGCGCGCGCCAACACATGCCAATGGGTTTGCCACTTGTTGGTCGGTGCGGTCTATAGCTCGCGAAGCGCGGCGAGGGTTACGAGGAATGACCCACTTGATCGATCGCGACGATTGCGCAGTTATAACCAAAGCTTATTCTCTGCTGCTGTTTATGTACACTCATTGTTGTTGCGATAGAAAACGTTACGAGCTCATCCTCGCACGAACTCGAACTTATCTCTTTCTCTATTCTTGTACTCCATCATCTTTTCTCGTGACGTATAAGACACCGATCGAGCGGATGAGGCATCAAAAATGCAATCGAATAGCCGATTGATCAACGCTTTTTCGTATCCATCATCCCCGCCACGCAACTTTCGATCGCCGTATAAATGCGTAAATACGAAATACCGCTGAGCAAACCGTGTGCGAGCTTGCAGGAGAATCGATCGTTATCTCATCCCACGCGCGTGTGCGTATTCAATATAAACAAGATACCAAAAGCTCGCAAAAAGAGGAAAGAAAAATATTTTCTCGAAAAAGCTTTTTTCCTCGGACCCTATGTGGTATATAGGCAGGACGCGGTGGCAGCGGCCACGCGAACTACTTCCTCGGCACAAAGAGAAATCAATGAATGCGCGTCCGCAAGCTCCGCCGACGGAAACCTTATATAGCAGGAGGAGGAAAAAACTTTGGATAAGAATAAACGCGCCTTTCGCGCAAGCTCGGCATTTTTAGAGGCGCGTTCGGAAGCTCGAATGCCCAACCATCGTATATACGGTTACGCAGCAACGGCATCGATACGATGCAGCACAGCTTTCGAGTGCATGTGATTATAATGCATTATAGCCTATACGATACACTAGGCTTTTTTTATTCGCGCGCGCGAACGTGAAAACTTTACATAATAAAACATACCTGCACGTATACTGGAGCAATTGGCGCTCGCATGAACTTGCCATTCGATTAAATTATACATTTTCTTTATATTTATATAAGACGCGTGCGCGCGTGGCGGCAGAGCTTTATTAAAAATACGCGTTCGTTCGTTTGCGCGCAGCAAGTTCAAGCCACGATCCGGCGAATGCGCTGTTTAATATCGTTAAGATTAAAAGTGCGCAATTTTTGCACGCGCGCGTCTATATTTCGTCTTAAGTGCGCGGCTAAACTATATACCGTACATTATATGTACTCGCTTGCAATGGCATTGCGCCTGCGAGCTGCATGCTGGCGGCCGACGTCTTAGTCTTAGTCGTCGTCGTATACATTTCTGACCTCTTCTCTCTCTCTCTCTCTCTCTCTCTCTCTAAAGTAGCTATTTCACCTTTTATAAACTTTTCACTCTTTTTATGCGTATATAATACACACTCGCGAGCGCTCGACTTTGGTTCTCTCTTTCTCCTGCTGTTTTTTTTTCTTCAACGCTTATATAAGGAAAAAACTCGCAGCTGCCGTTATACGAGCGCGGAGCGTCGGATTGCCTTTTCTCGCTCTTAAAAATAGAAATATACACGCACACACACACACAATTTTCCATCGTTTCGCTTCCGTAGCGCTATGCGTGCACCTGTTTACTTTTTATTCTTTATTTTTTTTGATATTTATAATTTGTACGCGGCAGCACGCGAGCTGCGTTCTCGCGCAGACAGGCAGGCATCAAAAAAAAAAAATTTTATTCGTCGATACGCGAGCGTGCGATGAAACAACGAAAATAAAAAAAAGCATAGCAACAATAGCAGACGCGAGGGAAAGAAAGAAACGAGAGAAGAATCAACGATATTTTTCATACGTATGTTTGAGAGCTTGCGGTGGGCGAACGAACCTGTCACGAGCAGGCTGCTCTCCTCCTCGCTCGGTGCAACCCGCTTACACATGGGGGCCTGTGTATGCAAGCAGTGGATTATTCATAACGACGCGGCGATTTATGTCCATACGTCGAAGGTTGCGCGTGTGCCTTATGTACTTCGCCATTCAATTACAAGTTATATCGGAGCGCACACACGCAGTGTATACGGATCTCGATCCGCGCTCGATGGCAGTTCATATCGCTGTAAGCTATATCACGAGACTCTGCACCACAGCTCGATTAATTGAGAGAGAAGAAGAAAAAAAGAAGAGGAGAATCTCGTCATTTGCTCGGTACTGAACTCATGGGTCAATCCATGCGCCATGGTCGAAATCGATCGTTTCGTTGATTTTTATACATTTATTATATCTATTGAGATACAAAGGCGCACCTCCCACAGCTCCGAATGAGAAAAATGGCAATTCGACCGAAGCCCGAGAGATAGAGCAATCGATTGGCCACTTCGATCGCATTTATTTGTATTATACGTGGGTATAGAGAGCCTCGCCGTAGTGCTCTACGTCAGACTAGATTCCGCTTTTTGCAAATGCAATAATAGCCGCGCACGGAAGGAAGAAGAAAGCGGCGGCCCCGGTAAGCGAAGCGAGGAGGACAAAAAAATCGAATGTACGCGCAAAATCAATTAATTACGTGCCGGAGCTAGAGAGAGAGAGAGAAAGACACGAATTCAATCTTTTTTACTTAAAAATATATCGTACGGAACAATTTTTTTCTCTTTCTTTGCATATAGGTGTATTATAGTAAAAAGTAACAGAGCAAGACGAACCACGAGATTGATCTGGCTGCTCGACTAAAAAATATTGATGGATAATTGATTTGATTACCCTAGTGGCGCGCGCGCCAAATCGTCTTAACCCGCATTGCGCAATTTATATATTTTCGCGCGTCTCCCGCTTGTATGTACCCCCGCGGGACGCGTCCCTTTCATTATGTATCCTCGTACAGTACATACATATTGCAAGTTGTATATACACGTGAAAAATGTAAAGAGTCAAAATTCATACGAGTTACACGCGATAAAGTGACGTATACATCGTGTGTATAAACCGCACGAAGGAGGGGAGAAAAAGCTCCTTCTCTCGAGGATGAGTGCTTTCGCTTCATATAAATGTATACGCGAGCACGAAACAAGATGTTTCGATCCCTCAAGCATCTATCTCGTCTCGAGAATGTATATAATTCCGCGCAGGGTGTATAAACCGAAGGCGCGTCGGATGTAGCATAGCTGAGCTCGCGCGCGATGAGCTTTTGTTTCGAGCCGCCGTCGCGGACATAAAATTTTACTTTGAGCCATTTTTCCTCGGCTAACCCGGACTATGCGTGTAGCTTATATTCTCCGCCGCATATTATAAGCGCGCCGCAAAGGAGCCGCCGCCGTTGCTGCCGCTCACTGCTCTCTGTGCTTTTGAATAATTTTCGTCACTCAATTTTCTTGGCTTACGTATGATGAAAAGTCAAGACTCGTGTCTATTTATTAAGCCAGTATACGAAATAATAATACCAAAAAGAAAAAAACGTAAATTATTACCCTCGGCGCGTTTCTGCGTTGGCGGGGGCATTAGATATACGTGTATTATATGCAGGAAGAAGAAGTGCGGCGCAAGGTGACCGAAAATAAACTTCATTAAAACGGCACAGTCTATTTACTTAACCCCGCAAGTGTCGTACGATAGCGAGGTAGACGTCCATCGAGGCGAATGCATAAGTTTCTCTGCGTATAATAGGTATCGCTATTATACAATGTGTGTCTTTTGAAGTATCGAGGCTTTTAAAGGATGGACGCCGGCATTTTAATTGAGGCTCGCGTCGCGTACACGTAAATACACGTTCGATCGAGCGAAGGACACTCATTCCCTTGTAATCGTATACGATCTTAACAATACTACCCACGCTCTCTTCGGCAAAGGAATGTAATTTTAACTTGTGATTATTATAATAGTATTACGAAGTGAAACTTCATTACCTTCGTTACATTAGTCCATGGTAAAAAATAAGAAGTAGCGCTTGCTTGCAATTTTTTTCACGGGTTCTCCGCATACCCAAGTGCTGTGCAGCGCCTCCTAACTGCCACTGCTTAGGCTTACTGCAGTCCAGATGTGGCGAAAACTCTGTCTACTCTTTCCCGCGCTTATGAACTTGTCTCGCTCGTGACTAGTGGCGTCTTCGTGCAAATTGCTCGATCAACCGTCAACCGGCATTCAGTACGCGTTACGATGCCGCAGCGTAAACAATGAACAAAACAGAATCAAATCGCTTCGAACGCAGTGAGTAATTCTCGCGAAAAAAGTGAAACATTTATTGTATAGCGACTGTTAGAGTAAATTGTGTGTGCGTTGCAATTCCAAAAACATGTATTTCGGATACGATACGATACGATGTGACTTAAAATTTAATAAATTGCGAAAAAAGTTCAATTTGGAGATAAAATCAGAACGAGCCGAATTTCTTGATGATATTTATTATTTAATGATCAATTGGACGGGCCAATATCCAGATTTTGGAAGCTTGTTTCGTCCCGAAGAAGTTGACTGGCTTCTTTCCGATTCCATAGATATCAAGTTATGGGGCCCGCATAAATATCGAGGAGAACAATTCATTAAGTTTATGACTCGCAGCGGCTACAAGGACAAGCCCAACGTCGATGAGAATGACAAGCCATTGTTGCAACGCACCACGGCGCTGCTTCATGCAGCTAAAATTACTATCAGTAACAATAGTGAACTGGTGAGTTGTCTTTTTACAATATATGACAGATTCGACGCGAATTACATCGATGAACGAGGCCTCACACACTTCCATATAGCCTGCAGGCACGATTTTGACGACATCGTCAAGAAATTTCTAGAGCATGGGCTAAGTCCCAATATACCTATAACAGATGAAGTTAATACACCACTAAACTTGACTATCATACACCAACGCAAAAAGTGTTTCGAATTACTGTTGAGAAATGGCGCTAATCCAAATCATGCCGACCATGAGGGAGTGACTCCTCTGCATCACCTGTGCGACAAAGACATCAGTCATGACTGGATGGAGCTATTCTTTAAGATCAACGATGACCTTCAGCAGACAGTGCAAATCAATGCTCAAAGCAAGCGAGGTTTGACACCGCTACACTGGGCTCTGTACCCAGGAAGAATCGAAAAAATCAAACTTCTGCTTAAACGAGGTGCCAATCCCAATTTGGCTAACAATGATGAATTGACTCCTCTGCACATCATTTGCTGCCGTAAAAACGACGATGACTTGGCGAGGATATTCTTGAAACTGAACGACAATATCCTGCCGACGGTAACGATCGACGTCCGAGACAAGAAAGGTGAAACGCCGCTGCACCATGCTTTGTGTCGCGGCCTCAAGAAAGTGTCCGAATGTTTGTTGAGAAATGGCGCCAGCCCTAATTTGGCCACTGGAGGAGGACTTACTCCTTTGCACATTATCTGCAAGATGAACAAAGTTGATTTCATGGAAATGTTCTTCGACGTGTGCAACGAAAAAAATTACTCAGTGCATACCGATGCCCGGGACAAGTTAGGCCGTACACCACTGCACATCGCTCTGCAGTACGGTAAACAGGAAGTATTTGAATTGTTGCTGAGGAAAGGCGTGAATCCAAATTTAGCCGATAAGGATGGATCGACTCCTCTGCACATTATGTGTCAACAATTTTCCCTTGCTGGTATGATAAAAGTATTCTTTGAGATCAACGACGAAAAACACCGCACAGTGCAAATCGACTCCCGAGACAAGTTGGGCCGTACACCACTGCACTTAGCTCTAGAGTACAGTAAACAGGAGATATGTGAATTGCTGCTGAAGAGAGGAGCCGATCTAAATTTGCCCGATCAGGATGGATCGACTCCTCTGCATTTTTTTTGCAAGAGTTCTAGCTATAATAACTTGGTAGAGACAATACTTATGAACAACGACGTTAAACATCAGCCAATATACGTCGACACCAAGGACAAGAGAGGCGATACGCCGCTGCACTTGGCTTTGAAGCACGAACGCAAGGAGATGGCTGAATTATTGCTAAAAATAGGTGCCAGTCCGAATTCGGTCGATGCGGATGGATCAACTTCTCTTCACTTGGTTTGTAGGAGAAACAACGATGATGACTTGGTGGACATATTTTTCAAGGCCATCCACGTAAAACATCGTCCGATGCATGTCGATGCTCGGGACAAGTTGGGCCGGACACCACTGCATTTAGCTGTGTCAAATCTTTTGCCACGTGTGGTCGACGTACTCTTGCAACATGGTGCTGATTTGTCAAACTTCAGTTTCCCCAATGAGAGTTACTTCGGCGAGAAATTTGATCCGCAAAATGATTCTCTTGATTTTAAATTGGAACTAGCATCTGGAGTTCTGGCAATAGCTGAACGTTTTGAGATAAGAGGGTATGAACTGAATCGAACCGAAATCCTGACAATCATGAAGTTTTTCACCAAGCATAAATTGATTAGTAACTCGGGGCATGGTGAATTTTGGCATAGCAACGAAGGCGTCTTGAGCAAGGCCAAAAAGATATTAATGAACCCAAGTCTGGCGCTTCATGAACTGATCCGGTCAAAAAACAAGTTGTAGGTAAGCGGGAAAACTATTTACGAATGCGGACGACTTCGAGCTCCAAAAGATGATTATTGGTAACTTCTCGACGGACCCACTGAAGCCTGTAATTTGTATCTGTATAAGAAACTATGTTGATAGTTATGTATACTGCTAATGTCAAATTTTTCAATATTATTTAAACAAATAAATTTAAAAAATCCAATTCGAAATTGTTTTAATTGTAATTTTGTTGTGTATTGATTTCATTGCATAAAAAATCAAAAAGAAGTTTCATATACTGTTGCTGTTCATATAAATACAGCTACTTATTGATTTTCAATGTAATTTTTAAATACCCGGTTACATAAACAGCTATTCTCGATAGTGTTACGTCAAGATATACGGCAAAAATGATAATTGTCGACGTCGCTCCAATGACCAGTTGCTTTTTTTACTTCATTTTTTCTCAAATATTCCATAATACGAAAGCAGTTGCGGAGAAGTTGGCCGGGTACCGCAAACGTGTGCTCTCGTAAGCTCTCTGAATAGTTTGTTAGAAGTCAATGAAATATACGAGCTGGACACACAGACACCCGAGTGCGACCTATGTGCGTGGAAACACAGCTTTTCTTCTTCCCTCCAAAGTGTCTAGGGGAAAGCACCTGACAATATATGAATCAAGATGTCTGCATAGTTTTGACTCTTTCGTCGACTTGCTGATAATATTGTCTTCTCCTGTATTATATAGCGTTGACCAAAGTTGAATAGTTCATCGAGTACAAATGTTTTATTTCATATCCTCTTTTATGAAAATATAAAGAGAAGGAGAGAAAAAAAGAATAAAAACGTAACTTGATACGTATATAATCATTTTCCTGCTCCGAGATGTATACTAGTTCCAGTTGCTGTCCACACGAGGATCAGGCGGTGCATGAAATAATCTTTTTTACGCATTTAATTTCTCGGGAATGAATAAAGCAAAATAATGCATTTAAATTCTAGGATTGTAGATTTGATGTACGGCGTTGACGCGGCGAAACTCAATTTAATGAAGTAGACAAGCGTATACAAGTAAGCATGTGAAAAAGCGAAAAACTCGCGCGAATGAATAATTCAAAGTACCAAGTGAGACACACTCCTTATAACACTTGTACATACAGCATAAAGAAACTCGCGCGAACAAACATCATCTCCTGCTTTGATAGTGTACGATTTATCTTCATCAGCTGTAAAATTATCTCCTACCTTTTCTCTCGGCACCCACAACTGGCCATTCTAAATCATCATCAAGTTGCGCAGTAGTAGCTTCGTACGAGCTACCGCAAGTTACCTACAGTCACGTAACTTTGCGGAAGCTCGTCGTCGAGCTTTAATCGATTCGTTATACACCTCTATGTTTGTCTTTCTTTCTCTCACCGCCTCTCGAGATAGCTTACGTCGCATTTAACTTCGATGATAATGAAATCGATGAGTTAATGCTACATACTCCTATCCGCGTTGATCGATCGTCGCGCCCGGGGCATTCCATTGAATTATATACACGGCGTGCGAAATTCCGCAGTGTTGCTGCTATATATATCTATACGAAACTTACAAACAAGACGGATTAGATTTTCTACGACTCCGCGCGCGAGCTTGCGCGGGCGCAAACGTCAAATATATACACGGAGTAATTAGCTATTGCTGCAGTGAGTCTCGCAGCTGTGCGGAATTAATCTCGAGAGGATTGCCTTAATTCGAGAGCTGCTGCTGCTGCGCGTCGCCCGCCCGCCGTGTATATACGAATAAACTGCGTTAAAAAATTTGTTCTTTTTTTCTGCTGCTGTGCGACTGTGTGAGAGGGGACGACGGATATTGCTCGTGTCGTTTCGAGGGTGTACGCGAGAAGAGACGCGCGACGCGTCGTGCGCGTAAGATCGAGCGACTCTAACTGAATAAGTTTAATTTTTCAAGTAAAGAGAGCCTGGGGAGAGCTTGGCACGAAAAAAATGTTCTAGAGCGCTTTCTAAAAAAACTTTGTGAATATCTAGAATACAACAAAATACTCACGCAGTTTTTTTAATCAATTTTCGGTGGTTATCGTCTTTTTCTTTTATTCAAACTCAGTAATCTTCTAGAAAATAATGATAATGTTCTATAACATTCGTGAAAATCGCTTTGACAATTGTCTTGCACATACATAATTTAAATTACATTCATCATTAAATGCGCAATGCACGTTAACGTTAATCGCATTTATAAGCAAAATTACGATCACCTGCACGAGGCACTATAGCTTCGAGCGATATTCCATGAGCTCTGCACTTGCAAGCTCACACGTACACACAATATGCGCAGATATCTCACTTTCTCCAGAGGACAATTAGAATTTCCCTTTGCCAGTTCGCCGGTATGTGGTATATACATAAGAAACAGAGACACGACTTATTCGTATAGAAATTAATTGAATCGTAAATTTCGCCCCGTTGAGAGAAATGCCGATAATGCGCAAAATATCCTATACACACTGTCTTTTATAATATTATTATATTGCCGCGCGTTAATGGAGAATTTATCGGCTGCGAAAAAAAACGGATATGGCACTCGAAAGGGGCTGATCTTTTCACGGCGAGCTTTTATAACAATAAGATCGATAGCCGGCTGAATAATGAGCAAAAAATACCAAAATTTATCTCCCCTGGGGATTCATCTTTGGCAAATGCTAGGTATCTTCGATTTCTATTAACCGTTTGTGTCGTTATTTTAATAACTTTTTGTTTTTTTCTTCGCAAGTGAATCGTACACAAAAATTCTAAAATTGCTTCTAAAACAGCTTCTTTTCTGCCTCAAGCTACTTCTGGGAAATGCTTTTCTCTGTACAACGAAACATATTGTTAATTTACTCCGCTCAACGCGATACACATCTTCTCGCAATAGCTTACAACTGCGGTTACCAGCTCCAAAATGTGTAGTTAAAAATAATGTACTGCAAAATTTCCAACACTAATATCCGAGCTACGGATAAGGCGATTGGAATCGTAAATCAGAGACGAAAATCAGCACCGGTAGTTTCAATCATCGCGCGAGTCTTAAAGCTCTGCTGCTGTGTTATTGTTAGCCATTGCAATACACAGTAGTTGGCAGAAACTTCATCAAAGTCCGCCCATGTATACACACTCGGTATAGTAAGAGAAACTTTATAAATCAACGCAGTACCCACGATAAATCGCGCAAACGTACTGGCGACGCCGCAAAATCAAGAGGTAGATTAACTCGTCCAGCAAATTATCAATATTAATGTCTCCAACTACATACAATGTTTGATAAAATTATTACTTCAAGTCGAGAAAATGAGTATCATCGTTTTTCCATTTCTATTATCCACCCTATTGGGGGAAAAAAATAACAAGGATTGTTTGAAGATCTTTCCTCTCTCTGCTGCTTCTCGAGAGCATCGCGAGCTAAAATGGAACGAGTTGAGATGCTCCTTTTTACGATATTATACAGCCGATATTTAGCTCGCGTTAAAGAGAAAAAGAAGTCTCGTATATCGAGCGCACACACCGTGTGTATACGAACTCACCCCCGTTCCGTTACACGAGAAACAATTAAGACTTCTCGAGTGTGTAAGAACTCGAAGAAAGTGATATTTTCCTCTTCTTTTTTTTCATCTCGAGAGGAGAACTGCGCGCTGAAAAAGTTTAAATTATCGACAACATTTATAACATCGATTCTTTCCCTTATACGTGTATATCTCTTAAGGTGTTTCTAGTTACTAGTATATATATTTAAGAGAAAAAAAAACTAGCCTCGGCCGAGGAAATGAACGTTGATTCGTCGTGCAAGGTTGACCTTATTCAGGGCCGATACAGCTTTTTTTCCCTGCCCGCATCGCATCCTTTCTAGCGGGGATAAAATTATGTCTAAGCTAAGCGTAGCGGCATTAATGAGCGGACGCGCGAAAGCTCCGTACTTTATTAGCTCGCGCCGAAGGCACACCTACACGTTTTCTTATAATCTTCTATAGGTACACTATTGGTAGATATAACGAAATTCCGTTGCTCGCGTCGAATCTCGTTACGAAGGTACTACGCTTTTAACCCATTAGCGCCCAGCCGGACACTTTTTTCAACTGAACTTTAGGCAAAAATCTTTACTATTCAGAATTTTGCTAAAAATTAACGAGTTCATGTATCTAACGGGAAATTTAATGCCCTTTTCGAATATGGCTTCAAAATTAATCTTAAAATTATTGTTCAAAAGTTATAAACAATTGAACAAAAAAAAACACGAATTGAAAAAAAAAAATTGTCTTCAACTCGAATTTTAAAACAGAAACAGGCTTGATACTTAGGTCCCGAGCACATTAAAGGTGTCCATGGGATGTAAACTGAAAATCCCAATATCCATAATATCGGAATTGGACATTTTTCATAAAAAAATGGCGCTTCGTAGAAAAAAGACCGTATATGAGCTAAACCAATTTTTTTACATGACAAGGATGCATTTAGGAAAAAAAGTTATATTGTAAAAGTTCTTAGAATTGTTCAAAGAACAACCCTGAATTTTTTCAGAATTTTTGGTGAAAATTTTTGAATTTTCGGAAAATGATGAAATCCAAAAAATCCAAAATTATTCGAAAAATTCAAAAATTTTCACCAAAAATTCTGAAAAAATTCAGGGTTGTTCTTTGAACAATTCTAAGAACTTTTTCAATATAACTTTTTTTCCTAAATGCATCCTTGTCATGTAAAAAAATTGGTTTAGCTCATATACGGTCTTTTTTCTACGAAGCGCCATTTTTTTATGAAAAATGTCCAATTCCGATATTATGGATATTGGGATTTTCAGTTTACATCCCATGGACACCTTTAATGTGCTCGGGACCTAAGTATCAAGCCTGTTTCTGTTTTAAAATTCGAGTTGAAGACAATTTTTTTTTTTTAAATCGTGTTTTTTTTTGTTCAATTGTTTATAACTTTTGAACAATAATTTTAAGATTAATTTTGAAGCCATATTCGAAAAGGGCATTAAATTTCCCGTTAGATACATGAACTCGTTAATTTTTAGCAAAATTCTGAATAGTAAAGATTTTTGCCTAAAGTTCAGTTGAAAAAAGTGTCCGGCTGGGCGTTCATGGGTTAAGCTCGTCCCGCGCGCGCCGCATCTCTCTTTCGAACCTTGACTCAAGCTCATCCAGGTGCAGTTGGGATTCTTATCCCAACATATCCCAAATAATCATAATTGAAACGAATCACTTTGCGGATCATTACAGTGCGGAGCTTTCGGGTAAATAACGCGCGTATTATGTATACGGGTGTGATTGAGCAGAGAGCACAATCGGATCCAAGTCGAAGGTCTGTGCGAGAAGCTCTCCAACATATTGCTGCATGAAAATCGATCCTTCGGGGTAGATGCGTACGTACGAACGTACATACGTATAACATACATATAATATAATGTGTGTTACGGACGCTACCGAAGCTCGATCGAGCGCGTGGCACGTGTCCCCCTCCTGCTATGTATAATGGACAACACTTGAATGACTCGTTTTCACAACTGTCGATTACAAACAGACGCGAGCACGCACACAGATGCAAATTTCGATAACATTGATGGAGAGGACCGCCGCAGCTCGATATTATTGATCGAACTGTGTACCACGCGGACTCTAGTGAAAGAAATAAAACAAAATTATATCTTGGTGACTCTCTGGCCCACAATGAAATTTTATAACGAAAATCGCTATAACTGACAATGACCTCGATGATACATAAGCCTCCGCGCGACCTTGAAATTATGACTAAATCCGGTCTTACGTAGGAAATAGTTTATCAGTTCCAATTATTCTATTCGACGATAAGCCTCCATACGGCGTATAACTATTATATAATTAAAATTGGGATTTTTGAAATTCTGTTACAGAAATAAATTTCACCGAATCGCAGTCGCACGAAGGCACGAACGATCATGCAACATAAAATCGTCCTCTGCTGTCTCGTACTCCTAGTGGCTACCGCCTTGACCGTCCAGGCTCTACCTTACACGTAAGTATTATAACATAAAATTGGTAAAAAATAAAAGTATGGCAATCAGATGATAGTATTAAAGCTGAGCTTAATAGATTAACGGCATGGATTATAATAATTATAAGGGCACAAAAGAAAAAAGCACAAGCTCACATATGTTCTATCGATGCATTTGCGCGCGCGACCGCTGGAGGCTAAATATCGTGTGGAAGGCCATCGTACCCACACTTGAATGATACATGCACGTATGTACCGTGCGTTTGCATAGATTAATTCATTTTAAACAGAGCGCATATGCTTTATCCATTATGAAAATTACGAAAGTTCAGCATCATCGCGGCTCGCGTCAAAGGAAAGAACATATATATATGGATATAGAGAGAGAGAGAGAGAACTGCAACTTAATATAAGCGTGTGTAGTACTATATACATATGTGTGTGCGGTGCAAACGTCAGCAATCCGTGAAATTAACTCAACCGCGTGCGCGAGAGCAATTGCCGTTATAGTAATAGTTTTGGTAGTGGTGGTGGTTGGTTGGTTGGTTAGTTGGTGGTGGTGGTGGTAGTAGTGGTGGCATCAGCGGGGGATGAGCTAGAAACTAACACACGCACACACAGCTGCACAAGGCGCTGCTGCTGCGATTAGAATATTAACCGGCCGCAAGCTTCGCGTGGAGGAGCTTTTACCATAATTCCATTTAGCGTCGCTCATTACACGATTAAGAAACGATGCTAGATGCTGCTGTTGCTGCTGCTCGCGTATTTACGCATTTACACACGCAAAACGAGTAAATACACAGCAGCACTGGTGTACGTACGAGTGCATTCGATGTACGCGTGGAAGAAGCTCGAGAGGGAGTCGACAGCGTAGGAGAGAGAGAGAGAGAGAGAGAATTAATTCGAGGAGATGCGAGACGTGTAAATGAGATTTCGAGTTGAATATATTATAATGGGAGATACGCGCAGCTAAATCGAGTCGTTATTTCGTGGGCAAATGTTTATGTACTCCTACTGCACGCGCGTGAACTCATCGCAAAAATTTACCTACATTATATCCATCTCGCGCTCGTCTATTTTTGGTGCTCCAACGGAGTGCGTATGCAGACAAGGATTTTTCAACTTACCATGACCCATTTTCGAAGAAGCTCGATCATGGCGATCCGCGCTGAATATAACGCGCATATGAAAATGATACATGCTCGTTGGTCAAAACTAAATAATTTTACAGATATGCGAGAAAAATATCGAATAGCCACAGCTCGAGGGGGGGGAAACAAATACTTTCGAGCGCGTTTTTCAGGAAATTCTTAATAATAAAAAACGATTCAAGGACTGCGCGCGCGATCGTACTACGATATGCATGGAAAAGCAATTGAAATGCCCCCAAGTGTCTGTATTCTCTCTTGATATATGTGTAAAAAAATCCAATCGGTTTTCTCTTTACTGTCTTTTTTTCAGCCGAGCGAGGCTCATGTGGAACCAGTTTCAGGAAGATTTTCCGGAGGCCGCACAGGAGCTCGAGGACAGAATCGAAAATATGGCCCTCTTCGTACAGGATAACAAGTAAATCAATTTTACTTTATTCTTCGTTCGTTATCGCGCTTTATCAGTCCTCGATGTGGTACAGAAATGATTACACCTATCTTTAAAGCTCGCGTGAAAAAATCATTTACGTACCGTGTCGAGGGCCAACATCGCCCGATCATCACTAATCTGTATAAAATAAATTCCTATACTCGCAAACACGAATCACCCACTTATCCTGTCTACATTTCGTCGGCCTACCAGCGATTATTACGACGAATTTAACAATAAACGTTATGTCAGCGCCAAGCGTGGACTGGACCTCGGGCTGAATCGGGGCTTCAGCGGCAGCCAAGCCGCCAAGCACCTGATGGGCCTGGCGGCGGCCAATTACGCGGGCGGACCAGGGCGAAGGCGTCGCAGCGAGCAGGCGAGTCGAGCTGCCTCTGTCGCGGCGCAGGTCGTGGTGCCGGGCAACGAGCAGGTGTAAACGTCCTACGCGGGATCCGGGCGGACGACAAGACGAGATGGAAGCCGCCTGTACTCCTCCTATACTCCATCCCCCGATGACGATGACGACGACGGCGACGAGAGATTATTTATGGCATCATTTCAGCACTTAATATTAGACGTGTAATCAAATGCTCCAGTATCCCTTCCCCCAAATATAACAAACACAGCAGCAGCAAACAAACCTTACTACTATTGATAGAGAAAATAAAAATCAATGTCGCGACTAATACATTATTATGGTATACCAAACTTACAAATCAATTCTAATGGATACTTATTGAGAATAACACACGTTACATCATTATAGACCCATATACCCTATATAGATATGAAATAATCTCAAACTTGAAAAAAAAAATTAATGGAAAAAAAGCTCTTGTACCTGCGTGTGAGATGTAAAATAAAAAATGGTGCAATTAATTAACGATGATTTATTTATGTATGATTTCGCAATATAATGTTATGTAAAGTAAATGACTGATATATTATGCTCATTGATTTTCGAAATTCGCGTAGGATGTTTGGTTTTTTTCAAGTAGATATTATTTCATTATAAACATTTGAAAAAGAAAAAGAATATAAGAATGATATTATATTAATATAAAACAGAAAAATGAATGTTGAAGCGTGATAGTGTAAAGTTTAATGATGTTTTTCGCTCTACATGCATTGTGTCACGATATAGTATATAAAATAGAGTTTATCCATTAACTATAGATGATGTATTTAGCCGAACAAAAGTAAATTGTTTAGGACTTAACTCATAGTAATAATATGTTGTACATTGTTCATTTCATTTGTTTTGGCATAAAACCCAGATTATTTATTATATGTGCACTCTGATTTCATTTAATTTTGGAAACGACGCTCGATCGTCGCATTCATTTATTTTTTTAAGTATACTAATATATTACAAAAGAGAATCGATAATCGTAATTATAATAGTTGGGAATTTTGCAAGTCAAAATCACTCGTGCTAGATTAGAAAAAAAATAGCAAAACGTATTTATGTAATCTCCCACCCAAGCGCGTTGAAAAATATATATGCAAATATATATATTTTCAATGACGATTTTAATGAGCTACAAGACTTTACCGTGTTTATCGCACTCGATCAAAAAGTACACACTATCTGACGACGTATGCTACAATAAACGACGCTTGTAGAGTAGATAGCATAAATATAGAATAGGGTGTCACTAAGTTCCCAATTTGCATTGAAATCCGCTTTCAAGATTTCAAAAGTTTCTTTGGACCTCAAATTAGAAAATTCATTATTACTAATCTTTTATTTATGAATCATTCAATCGTTTTTGTAGTCAAAAGCTTCCGCTCCCTTCATAAGTTTGCGCTATACAAGAAAACTAGTTAATTGGCATTATATCAAAAATAAGACATTAAATTGGATCAAAATAAACTGCTTTTACTATCGATTGTGATAATGATAAAGTCTGAAAAGCTTATTTTGCAATTATCATTAAACATATTTTTAATCTTTGCACTTCTAAACTCAAAAACAAATGACTTAAACAAAAAAAGACCAAGATTAAAAGTCTTGAGAATCATTCAAAACTATATGCGTGAATATTTTAAAATTCATTGAGGATTTTTTTGAAAAATGAGCATGGCCTGTCAGGAGTACAAAGATAGTTTAATAATTACATATAAAGGGTCGCAAGCAAAATTTTTTTGATGTCTATAAACTTATAAAAGCTTGGAAGCAAAGTTTTTGGAAACTTGGGAACAAAGTGATGCTCTAATATACAATTATTTAAAGGGATAGGACTAAGCTGAGGAGAAAACTTCAATATTAAAAATATAATCGTACATGGCGATAGATTTTTCAATCGATATGTATAAAATGTTACTTTAATTTAATAATTTCCAAAGAAATTGATAAAAAAGTATTTTTTTATTCATTTATTTTGATTACATTGTACGTGGTATCCATTGGAGCTATTTTTTATTACAATAATTTTTAAAAATATTATGGCTTCTGTTGCAATGGATCATTTTTTCGAATCCTTGACCCAAAAGCCACAAATTAATTCATAAAACAAAGAAAAACTGGGTTACGGTTAAAACTTAAAAAATGAGTGTCCTAAATGTTAAATTTTCTTTCGACTTCGTTACGACTCGGTGTATTAGATATCAATAGTTTTTTGAATTTCGCGCTTATTACATCCTTCTGCCATGTCACGATACAACATCATACTCTCGTAATAATCAAACAATTGAATATGAGCTCCCAGATACACTTTTACTTCTAAAATTTGAAGCAACTTATTCCGTAAAAGATGTATTTGAAATGCTTCAACGCGTAATATTGAAAAAATTTAAATTCTATGCAAAAGTAAAAACAACTTAAGATCGTATAAGAAACATTTAATCATAAATAAGAGATATTATTTTGTAGCGCAGTACTGTTTATTTACATTTAAGCGTAAGATCGAATTTATTACAAATTGTGTTCTTAAATAATAATTTGTATTGCGTAAAATTTATTTGATAGTCATCATAGAATTAATTGAAAGCATTCAATTTCTCGATGTAAAAAATTGTGTAATATTTTCGTAGTTCCAATTTCGTAGTAAAAATAATATCAAGTAAAATACCGATCGTTGTTCTTTGATTCTTACATGAAAATTACACGATTTTATCCTACAATTGAGTAGTACACAGAAGATTGATAGATATTTGTTTCATGGTCCGTTAGAAAATAACTTATAATTGAATATTTTTCAACAATATTTGTCAGTAGCTTAAACATATGAACGATTCTCGCTCTTTTATTATTGTAATAAAATATGAATGGAAATAATACAAATATATTTCTGTCTTTCGTCTTGTTTTATTGATATCATCATTACATTTTTGCAACCTCATTATAATTATAATCTTGTATCTTTTGTGAATCTCAGATATAATTAATCAACGAAAGGTACCCGAGTACAATGAAAATCTATCACTCAGGGCCTGCCGGTATCGCGTCACGCTCCTGAATTTCACATGCCTCGTTCGTACATACATATGGCGATCAGCTGTGAAGCGGGCATGTGTGCGTGTAAATCGAAACCCGTGAGTCGCAAATATACATGTGTCAGTATACATCATTATCAGTGGAAAATAACATCTTTCGCCGGCGCGTGGTTCATACATACCTCCCGAATTCGAATTTAGCCGGTAATTATAAAAACATTACTTTGAACTTTTGTTTCGTGAATGTATGAAATTGTGAATAGAAAGACAGAGGGGGGGCTATGCGTGAATATCGTGTTCGACGAAAGACGCGTATAGAAAAAAAGTAACGCAACGTCTGTCGAGATAAACACTGGTATAATAATATATAGGCGCAATATAGGCGCGGCGATAACGCCTGTACTGCGCTTTTGACGCTCGCACGAATTGCGTGCCGGTCACGCGTTGGACTCGTTTGAAATTCAGTGATTGCAGCGCAGGATCGAAAGCTCGAACGAGTGTAGCAGCAACAGGTGTTGCAGAATTAATTTTTAATCATCGTTAAATTTTTGTCGTTGTAATTCGTTCGATTACCAATTGCAATATCAGTGCCTCGGTTACGTAAAACTTAAAGATTGCGTAATTTTACACAGGCATCTCCGGTGCCACAATTAGTACAGGTAGCCCGTAAAACTCACGAGTAATGATGGAAAGCCGGAGCATGTGGAGTCAGGGCTGTCACCCGAGCAAGCGCAAGACGTGCATCGGCGTGGTGCTGCTCGCGGTCGTCATCGGCTCGGTACTGCTGGCCTACACGACTCTGGCCGCCAAGCCCGCCAGGGACCCGGCGCTCAGGAAGGTCTTCGTCGTTTTTCGACACGGCGATCGCACGCCCACCGAGACCTATCCCAACGATCCGCACATCAATTATCCCTGGCCCGGTGGCTGGGGTGCGCTCACCAAGGTAATTACTATTTTTTCTTTTTTTTTACTTACTTATTATAAACTTGGCTCATATAAACGCTCGGCGTTGCGCAGCTGGGCATGAGGCAGCTTTACAAACTCGGCGGATGGCTGCGCGAGGAATTCGGCTGGATCGTCGACCATAAATACTCGCCGGCGAGCACAATGGTGCAGAGCAGCTATGCGGATCGCTGCATCATGTCGACGCAGGCCCTGCTGGCCGGCCTCTTTCCCGTCGACGACGAGGAAGCCTTTGTTCCGGGACTCCACTGGCAGCCCATACCCGTGCATTACACGCCCAGAGCACTGGACAAAGTACGTGTTTTGCGCGGCATTTCCCCTCTGCCTCGTCGCACATGCTGCTGTATATCATGAATTTTTTCCCCTATTTTATAGCTCATCAACGTGAAATACCCGTGCCCGAGATTGGAAGCGGCTCTCCAGGAGGCTTACCGCAACGAGTCGTTGAAGAGCGGCGCCGAGCTCGAGTCCTACTACGAGCAGCTAAGCAACATCACCGGCCAGACGATCAAGACCGTGACCGACGTTGAGTTTCTCTACAACACCCTGGAGATCGAGGACTTTTACGGCCTGGAGATACCACCTGCGTTGAAGAAGTTGTACGAGGAGCCGTTGATGCGCAAACTGGCCGCCGTCAGCTACACAATGTTCACGAGCAATACCGTGGCGCAGAGGCTACGCGGTGGTCCGATGCTCAAGCACATTCTCGATATCGCCAATAGCGCCGACGACGGCAAGTCGGGACGAATGTTTTTGTACGGCTCGCACGACATCAACATCGTCAATATGCTCAGGGCCATGGGTTTCACCGACGAGCTGTTCAAGCTCGAGCTCGGCGTCTCGCTGATTTTCGAGCTGCGAGCCGTCGACGGCGGCCAGTCGCAAGAATTTCGAGTAAATTATCTTTCCTGCATTAACTTTCGTAAACGCGATATAATTAATTTCTTTACGCGAATGAATTTTTCCTGCGCAGATTTCGATGCTGAACAATACGGACGCGAAGGTGCCGCACAGGCTGAGGATACGCGGCTGCGAGGACCGATGCCTCGTCGAGGACTTGTACAGGGTCTGGAACGATACTCTGCCCGAGGACTGGGATAAGGAGTGTCAGCTTTGATGGTGGTTGATGGATGACGAGGCTCGTGATTTTTGCCGAGCCAACGATGATAACGTCCCCGGTCGAGAGGTAGACGAGACGAATGAGGAACATTGTAAATACGCAGGCGATGATTGAAGAAAGTGTATATACTTGCATTGTTACTTAAGAAAATAACTTTGAGATTTTTTTATTAATCGATACGTTGAGTATTTAAAAAATGTCTAAATGTACTTTACCTAAATGCTCGATTAAAATAGTCATTAAAAAAAATATGTTTAAAATCTATAAGCTGCAGTTGTATAAAAATAGCTGCGAGCTGCGAAACTTTTTTTAACATTTTTTGTAAATAAAACTGCAATAAAATTAAAACAAAGAAAATCAAAATACAAATAAATTTATAAATTCAAATATTTTTAAAATTTATTCATTTGAATAATATAGAACATCTGCAACTTTGAATAACAGACATAAGTATACAGACATAATTAATTCTCACACAGATATAAATTACAGGCTTCAGTGGATTCGTCGAGAAATTACTAATAATCATCTATTTGTTTGGGAACTCGAAGTTGTCCGCATTTGTAAATAGTTTTTCCGTTTACCTATAACTTGTTTTTTGACCGAATCAGTTCATAGAGCGACATGCTTGGATTCATCAATATCTTCTTCGCCTTGCTCAAGACGCCTTCGTTGCTATGCCAAAATTCGTCAAGCCCTGAGTTATCAGTCAATTTATGTTTAGTAAAAAATTTCATAATCGTCAGGATTTCGTTTCGATTTAGTTCATATCCTCTTATCTCGAGACTTTCGACGATAGTCAGAACCCTAGACGCTAGTTCCAATTTATAATCCAGATAATTAGGTAGGATTAGGTCAAAATCGCTGTTATTGGGAAAACTGAAGTTTGATATATCAGCGCCATGATCCAAGAGAACGTCGACCACGTGTGGCAAAAGATTCGCCACAGCCGATTCCAGTGGTGTCCAGCCCAACTTGTCCCGAGCATCTATATGCACCGGACGATGTTTTGCATCGATGGTTTTGAAGAATATCTCCACCATGTCATCGTCTTCGTTTCTCTCGCAAATCAAGTGAAGAGAAGTCGACCCATCCGCATCGGCCAAATTCGGGTCAGCGCCGTTTCTCAGCAGCAATTCGACCGCCTTCTTGTTGGCGGAGCTCAGAGCCAAGTGCAGCGGCGTATCGCCTTTCTTGTTCTTGGCGTCGAGATGCACCGGCTGATGTTTCTTGTCGCGGATCTCGAATAATATCTTCATCAAGTTATGATAACTGAAATTCGTGCCAAAAAAATGCAGAGGAGTCCATCCATTCTGATCGGCCAAATTTATAGTAGCGCCTCTTCTCAGCAGTATTTCAGCCACCTTCTTGTTGCCGCAGCTCAAAGCCCAGTGCAATGGGGTGTTGCCCAATTTGTCCCGGACGTCAATCTGCACCGTCTGGTGGATGCTGTCGTTCAGTTTCAAGAATATCTTCGCCAAGTCATCGTCGATTTTACGGCTGCAAATAATGTGAAGAGGAGTCAATCCTTCCTCGTTGGCTATATTCGGACCGGCTCTTCTTTTCAGCAGAAATTTGAATTTCTTGATTTCTTCATGGTACAGAGCCGTATGCATTGGCGTTTCGCCGTCATTGTCCCGAGCATCGACCAACACCGTCCGCTGAATGTCATCGTTGATCTGAAAGAATAGCTCCATCCAGTCATAATTGACATCTTTCTCGCACAGTCGATGCAAAGGAGTCAGTCCCTCATCGTCGGCACCATTTGGATTAGCGCCATTTCGCAACAGTAATTCGAAACACTTTTTGCGTTTGTGGTCTATAGTCAGGTTTAGTGGCGTACTAACTTCTTCTGTTTTAGGTATATTGGGATCTAGCCCATGCTCTAGAAATTTCTTGACGATATCGTCAAAATCATGCCTGCAGGCTATATGGAAGTGTGTGAGGCCTCGTTCATCGATGTAATTCGCGTCGAATCTGTCATATATTGTAAAAAGACATCTGACCAGTTCTTTATTGTTACTGATAACAAGTTTAGCCGAATGAAGCAGCGCCGTGGTGCGTTGCAACAATGGCTTGCCATTCTCATCGACGTTAGGCTTGTCCTTGTAGCCGCTGCGAGTCACAAACTCGATAAATTGCCCTCCTTTAATTTTATTAGGGCCTAAATACTTGAGATCCATGGAATCCGAAAGAAGCCAATCAAGCTCTTCGGGGCGAAAAATGCTTCCAAGATCTGGATATTTATCCGTCCAATCATTGATTAGGGGATAAATTCGACAAATAAATTCTCGTCGCTCTTCTTTGATCTCCAAATTAACCTTTTTTCGCAAACTCTTGAGTAATAGCAGGTTAACTTGGCCATATTCTGTCTCTAGATGCCCATAATCCATGTTTAATTTGCAATCGAAACTCACACTTAATTGACACAATCGCGTAAAATATAAAAATATGTCACTTATTTCGCGAGAATCACTTGCAACAGTCGATACGATCTTCCTTTGTTGTTTTCGTTACGGCGTCGTATACGTAACATGTACTGAATATCTACTGATCTACACAGAACAGACTATGCGCTTCGAGCATATTATAATGGATGGACACGCTCGAGGGACAGATTCCGAACCTCGCAACCTCCACCAAAACGTCACTACGACGTAGTCACGTAGACGGCGCTGCTCGAGCTAATGCGTAATCGACGAATACTATTAATTATGTAACTTTGGTTCGACTCGAGGTGACCGAGCAACCCGTCACGAACACGCACAGCGCGAGCAAGACCCTGCGATTTGAGCACCGAGCACTTACAGTTGGCTGGGTATGATCACGATCGACAGCCACGTTGCGACCGAACACGAAAACGACTACAATGATGCTGCGAGCTATGAAACTTTTTTTCAATTTTTTGTAAATAAAACTAAAATAAAATAAAAAAAACAGAAAATCCAAATCCAAAAGAATTTATAAACTGAACTTTTATTAAATTTATTTGTTTTCATAATTGGAATTATATTAACAGCATACATAAATACAGACATAGTTTCTCGCGCACATGCAAAATCACAAACTTTAGTGAGTCCTTCGGGAAGGCTTGCCCATAATCATCTCAGTTTGTGAACTCGTAATCTTTCGTATTTTTGAATAGTTCTGCCATCTATTCGGGTTGTGACAGAATCAGGTCGTACAGTGACATGCTTGGATTCATCAATATCTCTTTTGCCTTGCTCACGAAATCTTCGTCGCTATGCCTAAATTCGCCATGCAACGAGTTATCGATCAATTTATACTTTGCAAAAAACTTCATGATCGTTAGGTAGTCGCTTCGATCCAGTTCATATCCTCTTATCTCAAGACGTTCGACGATGGCTAGAACGCCAGACGTTAGTTTCAAATTGAAATTACGAGAATCATTTTCTGGGTTAATCCTCCTAGGACGTTTAACGACTACCACATCGCCGGATGCTAGTTCCAATTTAAAATCAAGAGAATCATTTTTCGGATCAAATTTTTCGCCAAAGTAACTTTCATCGGGGAAACTGAAGTTTGACAAATCAGCGCCGTGTTGCAAGAGTACATCAACCACACGTGGCAAAAGATTTGCGACAGCTAACTGCAGCGGTGTACGGCCCAACTTGTCCCGAGCATCGACCTCCACCGACTGCTGCACGTCATTGTTGATCTTGAAGAATAATTTCACCAGGTTATCCTTAAAGTCTCCCTGACAAATAAGGTGGAGAGGAGTCGACCCTTCTGCATTGGCTAAGTTCGTACTCGCGCCATTTTTCAGCAGCAATTCGATCACTTCACGTCTCATATGAGTTACAGCCACGTGCAATGGTGCGTTACCCAACTTGTCCTGGGCATTTACCTGCACCGGCTGATTTTTTTCACTGCTAAGTTTGAACAAAATTTTCAACAAGCTATCACCATCTTTTCGCATGCATATTGAGTGCAGAGGAGTCGATCCGTCTTCTGTAGTCAAATTCGGACTGGCGCCTCTTATCAGCAGCAATTCGTTCACTTTTGTACCTTGGTATTTTAGAGCCAAGTGCAATGGTGTCAAACCTCTTTTGTTCCGAGCGTCGACGTGCACAGTTTGATGTTTCTCGTCATTGATCTCAAAGAATATTTTTATCATGGCATCATCGTGGGAGTTTTGGCAAATGAAGTGCAGAGGAGTCAATCCGTCCACGTTGGTTAAATTTGGATCGCTGCTTCTCAGTAGCAATTCAGCAATCGATTTAGATTTAGATTTAGTATGATTTTTATTGGCATTAGTGTGTAACTACATTGCCATAACACAAAGTTTTATATTTTGACAATAGGTGGCATTAAATGTAGTACATATACAAAAGTGATACAAAATTTAAATCTTACATTTGACTTAAAAGTTAAACTTAAAAATTAGAAAGAAGATTGTAGTTGAAATTAAAGTTAAAAGTAAAACTCATTAACAATTTTTATGCTTTCTTAATTATTCTAGCTTATTACCAAGTCTTATTACTAAATCTTAATATTAATGGAATTTATGAATTCCGCGATAGGAACTATCGTTTCAGCTTGGTTTTTAGATATGAGAGAAACGGTGGAATACGGCTCGTAATAATTATTATTTTTTAACTTATTAATCATTTTTAATCTATCTTTGTGGAATCTTTGGCATTGCCATAGTATGTGATCCACCGTTTCCTCAGATTGACCATCACAGTCACAGCATTTTGAGTTAATAATTTTGAGTCTTTCTAAACTACTCTTAGATGAGTTATGATTTGATCTGATTCGATTAATTGATACAATTGCTTTTCTATAAATAAGGTGACTAAATTTAGTGAACCAAGGATTGGGTTCTTGTTTATAATAGTTGTCAAAGTAGTAAGATCCCTTGACTTGTGCCTCTTTGACAATAGACTCATTTTCTTTTTGTATGCATTTACTTTTGAGGTCAGAAAAAATATCTGAGAAAGGTATTTCTACCTGGTTTAGTGGTCCTGACTGAGCCGCAAGCTTTGCAGCAGAGTCAGCTTTTTCATTCCCTTTGATACCCACATGAGAGGGTACCCAGATGAATTCTATTTTTTTATTTAACAAAATTGATTTGAAGATTTTATCTTTTATGTTCATGATTAACAAAGATTTGGTATTGTAGCTTGACGAGACTGAAAGTGATTTCAGAATTGATTCTGAGTCAGTAAATATTCTAAAATTTTTTTCATCACAATTATTAATTTTATCTAGAACAAATAGAATAGCTAACGACTCTGCTGTGAAGATCGTAGCAAGATCATGGATTCTATAGGCTAATTGGAAATTTTCATTTATTGACCATGCTGCGAAGCCGGTGCAACAGTAATTATTGTTTTCATTCTTTTTATTTAAAGTTAACTTAGAGCCATCAGTATAGATATCCACGTATTCCGTGTTGCTATTGTTATTAAATTTTTGTGTGAAAGTGGAATTGGGATCTTTTGACTCTCTGATTTCCTTGCCAGACGCCAGGTCAACTAGTGGATTGACGAATGCCGAGTAGAAGGGACTGCAATATTGAAAATGTCTGTCAAACTGAGAGATGGAGAGATTATAAAACCAGACCTCGTCGTAGCACTCTGCCAGCAATGATTTTTTATGATTGTTTGTGTATATAGATGTTTCGCTAATTTCTTTTAAAGATTCTAGTTGCTCTATTATCTGATTGTTAAATATAGATAGTTGTTTTAGTATGTAATTGTATCCGAGGATTCGAAATCTGTTTAAAAGATGTGGTATCTTGGATTCAGCCCTTATTACATTGAGAGGGGTGCTATTGCGATAGCCCATTACTATGCGTAAGCATGCGTCTTGGACCTTCTGTAATTTATTTAAATTAGTCTGTGAGCACGGGTGAATGAGATGACCGCAGTATTCAAGACGAGAACGAACCAAGGACTTATAAAGCATTAATAGGAGTTGGGGGTGAGCACCCCACCAGGTAGCACGAAGACAGCTGAGAACACACATNTATAATGTTTGTAGGCTCTGGGTAAGTATCTATAGTGATGGCAGCTATTTCTATTTGTTCTAGGTCGTTCAATCCTAATTCAAGAGTGTCGTACATAATGTTGGATTTGATTAAAAACAAAATACCTCCTTTACTATTACAAGCTCTGTCAAATCTGACAGCGTTAAAACCTTGTAAAGTGTAGTGATTATGTTCATTTAAAAATGATTCAAAAATAATTATTACATCATAATTTATAAATAATTTAATAGCTTCAGTCTTACTTTTAATTCCTCTGGCATTCCATTGAAGAATTTTAAGGCCAGAGTTAACCATATTACAATGACTAAATAAATAAATAAATTGATTCTTTGGTTTTTGCTTTCTTTTTATAGACTCAAATAAGTGATTCAAGTACATTAATTATTAAAAGTAAGACTAAAGCTGTGTTTAAGTTGGAGGGTTGCAAAAATCAAAAAGTGGGTCACGTGTAGAACCGTTGATATTGTTTAATTGTTCTTGATGAAGACGGTTGTAAAGTTTCTTGGTCGTTGAGGCCAAGTTGGTGTTGAAATTTCCATCTTGACCCTCAGGATTGTTAGTTGTCAGTGTGCTTTTTCCTGTACGATTCTTGTTGCTGTTGCTGTTTCCGTTGTTGTTGTTGTTGCTATTATTGTTGCTGGTCGTTGGATGTGACAGGATGGCCTGTTTTCCAGAAGGAGACTGATTTGAAACTTGATTATTGGAGGATCTGATTTTTGTGGTGGTTTTATTCTCCAAACTATTGATTTTATTAAAGTCAGAATAATTTGATTCTTTATTTAATGGTGGGTACTGTTCAGCTGATTTGCCTGTGAGACTTCTGGTCGGTGGTGCAGATTTGTTTGGGAACACTGCATCTTTAGCTTCAGCAAATGTTACGTTATCATAAGCCATGATGTTGTTGATTTTTTTGTGGGCTATAAAGATTGGGCAAGATGAGTCTATGCTCTTGTGGTTAGTATCACTTAAGCCTTCTTGGCTGCAGTTAGCACAACGAGGAGCAGTATGTGCACAAGCACCTTCATGTTTGAGATCACCGCAATTGAAACACCTAGATTTTCCTCTGCACGTTTTAGCTGTATGCCTGTATTTGAGACAGTTATAGCACTGCATGACTTTTTGTACGTACGGTTCGACTTTGACTCTTACTCCAAAAATATATACATGTTCTGGGAGCTTTTGACCTTCTATGGTACATACTATTGATTTGGTTGGAATCCATTTGGAATCATTTACATCCTGAGTAGAGTGTTGTTTGTTCTTTCTGCTCATTCTACGTACCTCCATCACTTTCATTGGTCCTGAGCAGGTTATACCATCCAATATGTCTTCATCAGAGAATTCCAAATCAATACCTTTTATGACTCCTTTTCTGGT